CAAACCTTAATTAATTATCAAGAATAGCCTTATCTGCTGCATACTGCACGACGGATAAAGGAAAACATGCTACTACTGGCGCCTCCGTTCTTTCTTTCCTACCTGCTACTCATTTCCCAACCCCTCTTACTAACCTTCCTTCTAAACTTCCCAGCTTAATTGACAGCAACCGAAGTGCCGCTGGAGTCAAAACATCTGCAGCCACCTTTCCCCAACACCCACCGGATGCCTGTCGGCAACCGTCCTTTATAAGGCCACGCTGTCCCGTTTCCCTGGCGACGTTCAACGTTCGCACTCTAAAACAAATAGGTCAACAGGCTGAACTCGCACTCACTTTGGACACACTAGATGTTGACATATGTTGTGTGGCTGAAACTAAGATCAATGACCCTAATGGGGTTGTTATATTAACCGTGCCAAGCTTGTCCTCTCGTTATTGTTTGTACGCATCCGGAGACGCCGATACAGCACCCACGGGTCAAGCTGGGGTAGGTGTCATTCTCAGCTCCAAGGCTGAGCCAACGTTAGTTGATTGGATTCCGGTGAACAGCCGTTTCTGTGCAACCCGTTTGACGACATCAGCTAAGGTTGATTCACGAAGTAGTACAAAACGCTGTTTGTTTGTGATTTCCGCTTATGCTCCCATTGATTACAGTTCTACTGCTGTCAAGGACACATGCTATCACGAATTGAACGCGCTACTACGCAGTGCTACTAGTTCAGATATTATAGCACTTGCAGGGGATATGAACGCACAAATAGGGCGTCTGAGCTCTTCAGAAGCTCAGCTAGGTGGTAATTATGGGCTTAACTCTGAAGGAATTGACAACAGCAGGCGTCTGTTGCAACTGTGTGCGGAGCACCAGTTGATTTTTAGTAGCACTGCTTTTAGACACAGTGGGTGCCGAAGTGCCACTTGGCATCCCCTTGTAGCTAGCCCGCGATGGACCCAAGTAGATCACATTGCCATAAGTTACAGGTGTCGTGGTTCTATCCTAGATTGCCGCTTGTTCTTGCATATTTACGTCGACTCTGATCATGCCTTGGTACACTGTCATTTTCCCATGGCCTTTACCGGGAGGCGCACCAAGCGTCCCCCGATTAAAAAAGTAAATCGCCAGCTCTACACCGTAACGGCGCTTCGCTGCCACGCGGCGACCACCAGTCGTGTGCTTCAGTGGAATAGCATCTCGGCCACTATGCACGACGTAGGAGCATCTGCTTGCTGCACTCTCAGTTTTCACCGCACCAGTCACTGGATATCCATGTGGTCGGTGAACCTGTTGGAATCCAGAAGAAAACTCCCGGCTGGCTCTGAGTACAATGGGACCAGGCGGACTATTAGGCGCGAACTGAAGCGGAGCCTACGTGCTGACAGGGAAGCCTAGGGGACCAGTCGGGCTCAAGAAATGGAGGGTGTAGGAGCAGTAGGCAATTACCGCAAGCTCTTTCATCTGATCCGTACTAGTGCTCCTAGGAAACCAGGCGTCAGTGAGAATCGGAGACAACGCGTGTGCACTGATACACAATAACGAGCGCCATATGGCTTCTTGGGCGGAACACTTTCGCGATCAGCTGAGTTTGCCACCGTGCTTCCGGACCTCTTTCTACTTAAGTGATACAGCCTGAGCTATGGACGGTTAGTTTAGAGCCTCCGTCGGAAGTCGACCTCCGAAACGCGATCATAGCCCTCAATCGTTTTTGTGTTGCTGGCCCGGATTCCCTCGCACCCTTACTATTTATGGATGGTGGAGAGGTTCACTGCAAACCACTGACTTACCTGTTTACATAAGTCTGTAAGGAAGAGGCTATCCCAGCCAAATGTATTGAATCTACTATAGTGTTAATATATAAGAAGGGCAGTAGCACACCGACTAATCACAACTGGGGTACTAGTTGAACACTGGAGGTGACGAAATTACTGACCTGAATTCTCCTTAGTCGCCTCACTGCGGAACGATAATCACGGATCAGAGCATGCAGGCTTCCTCCCAGAACGTGACTGTGTAGACCATATATTCGCTCTGCGGCAGGTGCTAATGCAGAGCCACGCATACCGCATACCGACAATAGCTGTGTTCCTCGACTTCAAGAGTGCGTTCGATTCAGTTGATCGATGCATTCTGTTCGAACTACTTTCGCGAAAAGGTGTTCTCACGAAATATGTAAACATCTTACGTGCCCTGTACTCGAACACTCGTCAGCTTCTACGGTAACTTGTAGAATAGCTTTCCGACAACAACTGGCGTTCCTCAGAGTTGTCCAATTTCCCTGTTTTTCTTCAATTTCCTCGTGGCCTGTATCATTGGATGTTTCCTTACTGCGTTTCAGGATGTAGGCGTTGAGGTCCTGAACGGTTAGTTGATCTTGACTAAGCGGACGATCTCGTCTTGTTTTTCGACGATGTTGCGGTGGCACAATCAACCCTGAATAGCCTGTCTAGAGTGGTTCCATTATTTGGTATGCGCTTCGCACCTTCAAGTGCAAAGTGTTGCTGCAGGACCACCAGCCACTTGATGACCCGTTGACCTTTTTATAACGGGGTACTAGAGGTGGTTGATCGATTCAGTTACTTTGGCAGCTGCATCAGCAACGATAGACGCATAGAAACTGACGTCAGCTCACGCATTGCAAAGGCCAGAGCTGCCTTCTTGAACCTGCGGCATATTTGGCGACAGAAAGGAGTTTCCCTCCATCTGAAAGGCCGCAGTGAGAGCCGCCCTGCTCCATGGGAGTGAGACTTGCCCCCTTCGTCCGATGATCTGAGGCACCTACAAGTCTTTGATCATCGTTGTCTACGAAGCATTGCTGCTGTCGGGTGGCACCAGCGTGTCCGCAACGATGATGTGCGTAGGCGAGTATTAGGTAGTGATAACCAAGCTAGTTCCTTAGAACAACACATAGCACAGAATAAGTTACGTTGACTTCGGCACGTACTGCGTTTGCCTCGTCACCACTTACTTACGAAAGCCTAGTTTGATCTGCCAGATATAGGGTGGCGCAAAGCTCGAGGTGGACAGAACTTGACTTGGAAGCTGGAAATGAAGTCACTGACAAACAAACTGGGTGTCGTCGGTCCGTCTCGCCTTCCGGGCTGGAGTCCACGTGACCCGCCTTGTGCTTGGTTCGAGACTTTATAAGACATTGCTCGCAGTCGACGCCAGTGGCGCATCTGCTGCTGTCTCCTAGTCCGATTGCCTGTTCAAAGTGTGTTTGGTGCTGAGTTATCTGCGGGGTAATGGCTGATTATGACGCGTGGCAGTGAAAGCCGCAAGGAAGCTATCTTGCCGATGTCGCCTTCTCTTTACACGATAGCCAGCTTTTTGTGACTGTATGTTGATAAAACAAGGTGTAAGCACCTTGATCCCGTATGTTTGTTTAGGGCATTAAGGTTTTGCGGTTAGCCCCCCTTATCTCATTATTATTATTTATTCCATTGATCCTCATGGTTGTATGGCAGCGAAGCATTAGTGCAAGCGGCTGATGTACTGCTTTTGTTATTTGATTGATATTCTTTGTTCTGTTGTTCATTAACAGTTGTACTGTATCAGAGAATCGGTTCAATTGGTTGATGTACTACTGCTGTTAATGATGGGGAACTGTATGGCCACCTATTGGCCGGAGCTATTTGGTCTGGATTTTCTTGATATTTATCTTCTGAGTGAGCCCAACTCGCCCACTGTAGTTGTTTCGCATCTTCCGTTTCATTAAGAGGTGATCTGTAATACACTGCAAGAACTGGGGTCACCTCTGGTGCCGAATAAATCAACTTAGTACGATCACTTCATATTCCTTCCATCCTAGCAATCCCCACGTCGTTGTTGTATAGACGCGGAAGTTTGGTTCTCCATTCTATGGAATCCTAGTCGTCCACCAGTGAGTGACAGGGACGAAATTGTAAACCTTTAGCAGCCAAGAACAAGCAGAAGGGCTCATATCATTCACCCACTCGTTCGACGCTTTGCTTTTTTATCTAACTGGGTGATGCTGAACACTTTGATGATTTCCAAATTTAGTCATTAGCGAAGTCGCATGCTGTTTACTTACTTCGTTTCCTTGGTTTTCTGTTTGAATGTAATCTCGTATACCACGAGTTTCTGAGCCCAACCAAAGCCAAATGGTACTGGCTCTAATGAAAACATGTATTCACGGGTACGGCGAACAGATCGCTACAGCCCCATAAAATCTTCGGATGCTAGCACAGCTATGTCAGTTGTTGAAGATAGTGGGGCCAGCCCAATTCAGTCTGTCTGCAAACAGGCTCCCTGTGACGTAATCCATTTTCCCGAAACGAACTGGAATTTTTCACTGAAACTTCTTGATCCACAGAAAGAAATCCCTGGAAAATTTTTATTATATTTTTCTGAACGCAAACACTCGTCTACTTGCTGAGAACGTTTTATCCTCATTAATCAATATCTATGGTGAATCCGGATTGTTGAAACACACGAGCTGAAGTGATAATTTTGCAAATTTATTTCTCCAGATGGGATGTGTGCTTAACTTACGCATATTAACAAGTCTTCTGATCACATTTCTCGCGATCATTGCCTACTCCTCCGAATTTGTTCTCAGTTCTCCAATTGGATTGAAGACTGTGCTCGAAGATAGTGACGCTCCTACACAGACTACCTCTTTGTTTTTGTGCCAGCAAGTTATTCTCTTTTCGTTCCCTTAGGCTAAGTACTTTTTCAATGAAGTCTCTTTTACCGGAAGGCCTGATGAATTTTCGTTCTTTAGTCTATTTTAAGTAATTTTCTCCACTGTAACTTGTTAGATATTCTTGCATTCACAATTTTTCAGCAGCACACAAGTCATTGATCACTGGATATTATTCTACCCTTTTCCTAAGATCTCAGCTGTGTAGTTCCGCTGATTGAGGAGTCTTGTTAATCTTCAGCAATACTACTGTTGATCAGCCACCTTTTTGATAAACATGGTTAACTTTTCACGGACTAACTTGGCCTCCATTTACTGCCTTTCTTTTCTATTGTTGTTAGGCGCCGTTGGAACTCCACGCATTGTCTCAGATGAAGGCCTGTGGGTACGATCCTTCCCTCCCTCTTTCCCCTAGACCTGAAGGGACCCCCACCTTAGACTGTGTTCCAGATCACATTTTACGCCGGTTGGCTGCTGTTGGTCTTGGTCGCGCGCGGTTGATCCGTCTTGTCGCTCATTACGGTTGGCGTGGGTTTGCTGGTCTGCTGACTTTCAATATCACGACTCTGCTTGGTCCCAGAGGTGGGAAACCCGACACTGATGGTCGCGCTCTGGTTACAAGTGATCCAGAAATCGTACGGCATTTATATCGGTTCTTTCATCATATACATCGGTGAGGACACTGTTTATGCTTTGCACTTAGCTACTGAATGAATTGGCCGCTACCCGAGCACTGCGTTGCGCAAATCGTTACCACAAAGCTTATCACCATGTTACTAATAGGTTAAGCCCGCAAACTCGAACTCAGCTGTAATGCAAAATCAACCAGATGGGAAAAGCTCTACTTATTGAATAAAATTCCTAAAAAATACAATAGCTACGTATAAGCGGCAGGGACTTCACATTCGAACCTTATTGGCTAGGGAACATATATCCTGACGGGATTAATCCTGAAAGCCCTACTAGCTGGCCTTAACTCTATACATCTCTTATTCGAGCTTCTTCATGCTGTATCATTTCGTCGTTAGCCGACTACCTCCGTATTTCATCCAACTAGCTGAAGCATTGACAAACGATACTTAGGGAACAGGGATTTGTAGAACATACTCTGTGTAATAGGTTCGGGTTCAGCCGACACCTCACTACAACACACCCACCACCGCACCATGCTGAGGCTGATGTTGCATTCTTGATGCTTCTTCACTGCAGTTGGGCTAAACCAACGTACACTTAAACTAGGTCTTTCGAAGCTTTACACATTTCATTCCACTTTATTTGGTTTGTTCTGCCTGCTTGAATAATCTTCTATTAACTGGCCACTTTGCTTACGCTGATTGCGCTTATCTTCGATAACTTGGTGGCGTTAGTAGCATTTTAAGTAACTTGTGGACATTTTTTACTTATCGCGGATTCGTTACTAACCAACTTACTTCATATGGAAATTTAGCGAAGAGTTATGCCACCGTATCTGTATGCATTATTGGATTTATTTTATTTCATCTTGTCGTTTCAAGTTATTGGCTGTTACTTGATATCCCCGGTGTGGCTGCGCTTGATGTGCATGTTGACAAGGTGCCTACCTGTCTATTACCCACTACCTCGTTCATACTGGCTCCAGGAGACGGTAAACTAGAGTTCATCAGTTCGAATCCGCTTAGGTGCGGGCAATCTCGCGGTATACGAGGGTAGAGCAATAAGTTTCTGGATACATAAAAATTTCTACTTTTCACGACAATTAGACATTACGTTTTTTTGTAGTACTCTCCACCAGCATTCGTGCATAGATCCATGCGCTCAAATCATTTGGAGAAGCCGCTAGACCATACCGAAGCGGGTAACCCTTCAAGCAGCTCCAGTAAGGCCTCTATTGCAGCTTCTGGAGGCTCGTAGCGGATTCCGCACATCATGCGCTTGACATTTGAGAACACAAAATGTCAAACGGAGCCAAGTCCAGATTTTAGAGTAGGTGACTAACCTCCTGGATGCGCTCTCTTATCAGAAAACCTACGACGACATGGGACCTGTGTGCAGATACTTTGTCGTGGTGCATCAACCTCCCTTGTGCTCGAGTCTTTGGACGAGGACTGGCTACAGCTTCCAACACTTGTGGCAGACAGTGGGTGGCATACCAGTCTCCAGTGACTGTGCGTTGCCGTACGATCGGTACATTAGCTACCTGACCGCTCTTCGCCACGAATAAAGCCACAATCTACTTGGCCACACTGCGGTCACGCCGGCGTTTCTGATGCGGCACCCTAACAACAGCCGTTACTTGGTTTCTGGATCGAATGGAGTAACGAACGAACGTAGTATGATGGTTTGCGTACTTCAGCCATCTATCGAGTGCTTTTACGTGCATTCAGAGTCACTCATAGCAAACTGTTTGGTGGTCAGACCACCGCAGTCGCAGTGTCATCATCGGAATTTTGAATAAGATCTCTATGACTCACCTTAAAATATATGAAAGGGGTTCAACGGGATTGACAGAGCATGTGCGCCACGCGTTGTCTCTGACAATGGGACAGCATCACCCGGTGGTCAATGAGTTGCTACCGCCTGCTTCACGACAGACAGTCCCTGGTCTAATAGGTGCATATCTGCGATTGCCCGTGGTCGCAGGTGCGTATTCCTACACATTCGTGTAACATGTGTGTGGATTCTGCACATTCATATTCTTTAGACAAACCTGCTCCTCGCTATTAACTCATTGTCTCTGTGGTAAGACTGTTTGCAGCGAGAGCGGTGGAGTGGATGTGGATAAACTGAATTCGGAGTTTAGTTCCGCCTCACCAAGCTCATCTTCCTTGCCCTTTTTCATTAGCGCAAGTCCAGCCGCGCCTTTCGATCAAAGCAACGTCCACAAGGAACTCAAAAGATTAAAGGCAACAAAAGGTTGTGGTCCTGATGCTCTTTCACCCTTAGCTTTGAAGAAGTGTGCTGATTCACACTGCCTCTAACAGACCTCTTTAAGAAGTGTCTCACTACGGGTGTGATCCCGAACATTTCGAGAGCGGCCAGTATTACTCCAGTACCAAAAACTGGATCTCAAAAGTATCGCCCAATTGCATGTACATCTGTGCTCCTAAAAGTTTTCGAAAGATTGTTAATTCCGCGGATTTTTTCAGCTGCTCCTGAAGACGATATCTACCAGTTCGCGTATAGACTCCAGCGCTCCACATTGGATGCAGTGGCATATGTTGCTCATTCTATAGCCTCTGCATTAGATCAAAAGTGTAAATCCGTACGGCTTCTCTTTCTGGATTATTCGAATGCCTTTGGAAGCTTGGATCGGTCAAGGTTGCTAAACCTGCTATACGAAAATGGAGTTCACCCTGGTGTGTGTAATCTGTTACGTGACTATTTTACACATCGTACTCACTTCACCAAGTTGAACGGTAAGAAATCCCCTGTCCGTGCCGACTGTGGTGTTCTACAGGGAGCGATCCTATCACCTCTGTTTTCTTTATAGGTTGAACATCTCGCTATACAAACCACGTTTATAGGGTGTAAGTATGCTGATGATGTTGTGCTGGGATGTATGTCCCCCATTAACCATGGTTCCTCATCACTTCAACGTGCGTTGGAAGATCTGGTGTGATGGTCTTCATCCAGATCTCTTATTCTTAATGCTTCTAAATGCAAGGATGTAATATTTTCTTTTCTACATGGCGATAACTTGCGGTCCCTCATAGCTTTCTCCCCCACACTGTGAATGAAAATCCCATACCCAGCTCTTCCACCGTCAAGTATCTCGGCGTTTTTTTGTCGCAGAACCTTTCTTGTTCCGCGCACATATGTAAAACTTTTCTGAAAGTCAGAAACCTTTCTTTTTATGCCCGCAGACTTAAGGTGCTTTCAGTACCTCGTACTTTAATATTCAGGTTTGTGATCCCTTGTATTATTCTCCGTTGGCTATACTGCTCTCCTGCTTCAGAAAGACTACATCTTATTGGTGCGGTCTATAAATCACATTGCTAGATGCATTGGCTTGTCTAGAGATTCTTTAGTTGATTTGATTATTTCTAGACATCTTGGTGCCTGCAATGATTTTTCTTCTAAGATACTAACTGATCGGTGTCAGCCACTTCACAATGGTCTTTCCAAAACGCTCTCTTTCTCTTCTACCCGTTCGAAATTCCGAATTTTATCGTCTCGCACGTCATCACATCGTAATACTGTTTCGCCTTCTTTCTCACGATTGCTTGTTGACCTAGCGAAAGTCACAAACATGCTGCGCGAGTGCTTGTTGGAGTAACAGTTCTGCTTTTTTCCACTTTTCTACCCAAGCATGTATATTGATATTATCATCCAGGTGTCCGCAATGATGGTGTAAATGATGAAAATGAACCCATTAGGGTACATAAAGCTTATTTTGACTTGACTCTCGAAGTAGTATCTGTTGTGACTGACTTACATGTGTCATTGTCTGTCAGGTGTCGCACATTACCTGTTATGTGAACCAAAGGTGCGGACGGACTGGCCGCGGGTACAGACTACATCCGTGTCATTGCATTTGTCTTGTCTTAACTTCCATCGCACTCTTATGCAAACTTCTATTAACCTCACTGTCTTCATCGTGCACACTTCTATGGTCAACTTAATTTCATTTCGTCCTCGGAATTTTGTACAAGCACGTACTAATTTTTCAAGCTTGTTTTTAGTTTCTTGCTAGTCTAAAGCATTTCCATCGTAATCTCCGGGCTGCGCAAGTTTTAATATTATGATTTCCCTTAATTTTACCGAAACAAGCGAAGGTCGACAATCTTTGGCCATTTTGAAATGCTCGTTTTGTGATTGGATTGCGACACGCAATCTCAATGTGGACCATGCTTTGCGCTGAAACGAATCTTGGTCAATTCGATAACTAGTACCGTATCCGAAGCAGATGGAATTTTTGTTTTGCCTACTCGAAATTACTGTGCACAACGACGCATTTCGACCTTAATGATCTCTACTTGATGAGATTGAAACGCGTGGTGGATTGTGGTGTTTTCGCGCAGGCGACACCCAATTTCCATCTGCTTCGTTAAGGTTGCTTTTCCCCTCAATTTTATGATTCCCACCATCATGATCGACTGTCTGTCTTGCATTTCCGGTGTTCTTGTTTCGTTTGGTGATCGACTATAAATCGTCGAGGATAGCTTTCTTCGAGTCGAACATAGCTTCCCTGAAAGCGCTGCGGAATAGGCTAACGCTTTTTTATACTCACTTCCGCACTTGCACTCACAGACTTGGCCGATACATGCTAGTTTCCCTAATCATTTAACGTCGGCTCCAAGTTTTTTGTCGGTTTACCTATCTTGGTAGCTATGTCATCTCTGATTGATGCATCATCGAGTTGATCACCGCATGCATTGCGCTTGTAAACAAATTCCCCTCGGTGTGAAAGACCATGTGCTCAGGGTTACATTGAGGGTCTTTCTACCCTTTGCAAAAAGGGACTTTATCACTTCGGTCTGAAGCTCTAAGGCGCCTTCAAGTCTTTGATCGCTGCCGCCTGCGAAGCATTGCTGATGTCGGATGGAACCAGTGTGTCCTCAACGATGACATGCATAGGCGAGTACTAGGCAATCGTAATCAGTCTTGTTTCTTAGGACAACAGATGTCACCGAATAATTTGCGTTTGCTTGGACAATTACCAAGTGTGCCTGATCACCACTTACCGATTAGGGCATTTGTTTGTTTGCCGGATTTCGGATAGCGTAATCCTCTAGGTGGGCAAGAGTTGACTTGATAGCGAAAAATGAAGTCACTGACGACTGAACTGGCGGTCGTTGGTCCGTCGGGCTGTCTGTTTAAAGTATCTTCATTGTTCAGTTATCTGTGGGTAATGGCTGATCAAGACATTGGGTACTGGAAGTCACAAGGAAAAATGTCTCGCCAGTATCTCCGTATCTTCGCACAAAAGCCAGCTGCTTATGACGGTGCGTTTTTATCAAGGTGTGGACGCATCTTCCCTGAATGTTTACTTAAGGCCTTTATGTTTTATACTTGATCTGCCTTCTCTCCTACTTATTATTCTTTGTTCCGTTGTTCGTTACGGTTGTACTGGGGCCAGCAATTAGTCCAATTAGTTGATGTACTGCTCTTCATGCTGATAATGATTCACCCATTGCTTATGCTTACGTGGCTTTTCAACGCCTCAAACCATACGAAATCTAAGCTACGTGGTTTTGGGATGAGAGCGTGCTTGTGTAACCGTTGTTACTGCGAAGGCCAGCGACCTGGCCGCTGCACGTACTCATGTTTAGTGGGAGAATCGGGTGGGTAACACTGAAGTTCGTCATCTGCTGCTCGGTCACAGTCCCTCTCATGCCTGATGGGGTGTCTACCGAAGTTGAATAACCTACGCTAACCCAGCCAATTGATCGGCATGTCTGTATTGTTTGCAACTCTGATTGTATCCTCGAGGTAACCAGTTGCTGTCGTGTCGAAAGAACGCGAATTAATTTACCCCATGGATAATTAAAGTTGTTTTTTTACACTTTTGTTAGGTACTTCGAGAGCGACCACATCAGTGGTTAGATGTCCCGTCAGATTTCACACGGTCACCACGTCATATTTTCCCTATATCCATCCCTTTATTTTTGGTTCACACTGCATCTGACGATTGTGATTCTTGTCAATTCCTCTTGATATTTTTATTTGTATTGTTACCAAGCCCCGATGCATCACACGTCGCTGCGCAGATCTCAGTTGGTAAGCTGAACTGAACTGCTGCTGCGTCGAATTCGCTGTCTGTGCAGTTGTCACCGTTTAATCCAACTACCTAGATCAAATTAGGTGGATACAAACCCTATGCATGTGAACATATTTCTCACGCTGTGAACCATATGCGATTTCAAACCCGTGTAATCCTCTTACCATGTACACTCTCGCTTCATGATATCTTGGTTGCTTTATTTTTTGTCCAACTGTCCATTTTATCTTCTGCGTAGCTGTGACATTCGCACTCTATTTGGAAGGTTATCGCTTATCCACTGCCAACGAACTGTGCAAATGTTAATGAAGACATTTTGGCCCGTTTAAACAAACTGTAATATCCTCGTTTATGCTGTTTGCTTCTCCTTTCTTCTCGATAGGCGTTTGGAACGACATACCAAGCTTCGTGAAGAACAGCGGGACGCGGTTTCCATGCGCTTTCACCCTTGGCGAGGACGCCAGGATACGAGCATTCGCTCCTCCGATGTAGTGAATCGCAATATGCTGCAGGCCTGGACATCCGGAGGTAACCCCGTACTTAACGCAGCCACTAGTGAGCGCCGAGTCCTCTGCTTGGATATGGACACGTCTATCAAGTTGATGCAGAAGACATATAAAGAATATCAAGTACGTTCACCTCACACATACTCCCAGTATCTATGGTATTTGACCAACGCACTTGGTTTGTCATTCTTGCGCGATAATGAATCCAGCACGGTCTTTGGTACTATTTCAATTTCCCTTCTCACTTCAAATGGTTTCTCGAGCCCTTCTCACATTTTGTTCTACTTTTGTTCACAGTGTTCTTTCTTTTACTTCACTTGTTTGTTTTGGTGATAACTTACCTACTTTCGTCAGCGTCCATAGTGCCTTACTCATCTGGTGGGACGGCCACTGGGGTTCTGTGGCAGATGTTGCACCACACTGGACCCGTTGTCGAATTTGCACACTCACGTTGGTTGTACCTCCTTTTTTTATCCGAGTACGGGCGACAAACTTCGGGATAGTTTTGCTTTTACACCATGCTGCATGACACCCTGCGGTAGTCAGGGTGTAGCATCATGGCACAGAAACATGAGACAACTTATCGATAGACTTCGTTCTGCTCTTGCGTCGCCTCTCCTTAGGTCGACCACATCGATGAGTGGGTACCTTAACAGAACTGGCTCACTGGTGCTCTCGCACCTGATCTGCCGATACCGGCTGTTAGTGTCCTGGCGGATGTTAGACTAAGCGAACGCAACCGACGGGTGTACATCGGACAGAAAGCCACTCATTCAGCGCTCACACTGTGACCGAATGTGCGCAGGGCGGATGGACAAACAGCTATATTGGCCTATCTTTGACAAGGGTACGATGGTGGCTGGTCAACTGAACCATCGTAACATGCGCAGAGGTAGTGGGCAGAATCCATTGGATTTCCACCCATGCGATCTGACCATAATTTCAACGTCCCGGATGAGCAACACGAAATTAGTTCTAACTAGCTTGAACAGAGCCCCACGGAGCTTCAGACGAGCTAGGCCTGGATGAGATCAAACAGTAGCGAGAGAGAGTCTAACGCAGGCCAACAAGCTTAATGATGCGGCATAGGACGGACAACCAGGAGTAACTGCGAAGTTGGATTACAGTGGGTGGTGGTTCAAATTCATTCTTTGTAAAAAAAAATGGCCATTCTGTCCATGAATCACACATTTCATTCACTGTTCGTACTAGGTTTTAGTATTGTGCCGTTATACGATAATTGACTCTTAATTTCTTTTCGCGTCATTCTATGCAACTGCTTTTTCCCTCTTCTTGCAAAATGTGCCAAGACAATGAGATCTACTATAGGGTTTGACTTCACCTATCTGGATTGTCCAAATTTAAGCAACTTTCGCTTATTTTGTTGGTTGTCATCTTACTTGTAGCAGTATTCCATTTCGACCGTTGTTATCTTCTTGTTGCTTCTTAGCATTTGATTTCACATTTGTTGCGTTGCTTCCCCTTTGCTCAGGACCATTTGTAAGTGCCCATCCCGTATTAATCGATATTTTTAAAGTGGCTTCTATTTACGAACTTCCCTATTACGGCGTAAACCGGATAATGCTGATTTCACGCATTGTTTGCATTGTGTTGTGTTCTGTCCGACTTTTACTTCAAGTCTTGCACTGGCGCGTTCTCCTCGATCTCCCACTCGATCTGTGGACCCACCCAACTGAACTGAATGCCTCATGGGGGGGCATTGGGCCAGTGAATGCATTCACTTCGTTTAACGTCAACACTTGTGATCGGCTGCTCTTCCCACCATTCTTATATTGTTTGACAGAGCGCTGTTTGCGCGGCCACCCTATCCTATCACTACCCATCCAAACTTGGTCTCCTTGTCTGCATATTTCCAGGAAGCCTGTGTGAAGCAGTCGCGTGTCCAATTGCGACTACCACCTCCATCGGATAAACTCGGAAGGTATGTAGCGCACTATACTCTTACGACTTTTTTTATACATATAACTAGCCTGTTAAACGTGGTCCACTATCGGAACATTTTCATACTATTATTTCGAAGGTCAAGTAGAGTTTTCCGCACTCTGATGGATACATACACTGTCGCCGCAGATGTATGAGAAAGTTCGGTTATGGAAATGGAAATGGGGACTTTCAGCAGTTGTCGGAGATCGGTCCGTTTTTGTGTCCGCAACTAAGCGTGACAAGTACAATGTAGTTCAAGAAGATACAAATAACTTTTGAGAGCATAGGGGCTGCAGAGAGGATCTTTGATTGCTCATTACGCATGATGGTCCCTTCCATGATGATGATGATGGTCGCTGAAAAATTTTACGCTCATTAAAATTCCAACCAATCCTAGAGTCAACGAGAAAATCTTCCAGTATTACTCTCTATCTTAAAACATTCTTTGTCACCACCACAAGTTGTGTGACCCTTAGTTTACTTCGCCCCGCTCACCTATTTTGCAACTTTTGCTCCTGGTACTGGCCCACACTCGAGCTACCGGATGTTGACGGGTGCTGCTTCCAGAGTCATCCAGGGATTAATCCATCTATCAATACGTTTGAGTGCCCTACATAGTCTTCAGTGCGGTCCACTAATGCTTATTACATTATCGATCTAGCTGCATTCTCGAGTCCAGTGGCGGTCTTGTGCAGTTTGATGGCTATAAGTTGTACAGTCATGAATACGAGTGAAAAGCACTCTGCTGTCTAGTCCTAATATGGCAAAACGACCGTCCACCCTTTTTCCAAATGTGAGGTGACTGTGCTGCGACGTATATCCGCAAAAGCCTTTCCTGCTCTTCCTCTGCACAATTCCAGTCTTTTATTTAACCATTTTCAGTCATTATTTTTGTTCACTTTTCCCACTATTGTCTACTACTCAGTGGGGTGGCTAGGTTCACCTGAGTCCACCGAATTTGGTTGCCTTCATCGTATTTGATCAGTTGAACTCGACCTAGATTATCCGACACAGCATCATGACTTTGCATTGCATTCATTATTCTCGCCCAACTTTCTGATTGTTATCCCCTTCTAGTTACCGTGACGGGTCGTTACATCATCCTTACTTGGAGTCAACAGGTAGTCAGTCGGAGTCCTCCTCAAGTGACTCGGAAGCCTCGCTTCATCTCGAAGATGTGGACTAAAATGTCAACTTAATTGTACATATTTCTTATAAAAAATCATTCTGACTCATTCTTGAGGATTGTATTTTTCTTGTTGGGGTACGTTTAATCCAGTTACCCACGCTTGCTTAGCCTACCGTTGTGCTGTGCTTCCTTCGGTCTTCAGCCTCTTCAACCAGTGCTCTTGTTGTGATTGTCTCGATATTACACCCCTCTCTTCTGTAACACCTTCATGACAGATATCCTAACCGATATCGAAGCGAAACCCACCATCATTGAAAAACCACCGCGAACTCACCTCATTTCTGTGTTTCGTTATCTTGCGGTTCCGGTTCTCTCACCGGGTTAGTAATAAGTCTCCGTCGCTCCCTGCGCACATCAACCATGTCCTGGGCATCGAAAGTGTGCGGGAACTACTCCCCTCAGAAGCGCATTGGCCGCATATTCACATTTTCTTGGGCAGTGTTCTATTCGGGTCATATGCGTTATTCGTTCTAAATCACCTGAAAATCGCCTTTAGTTCCATTGATCGTGCCCCTGTGTCGCAGCAGGACGCATCGACAAAACCCCTTTATGTGTTGAATTCACGGAACTATATTCGTGCCTATCAGACTTTCTCTGACTTCACTACAGCAAATGAGATGCGTTATCGTTGCTCCATTAACCCATTCCTCTTTTAGTTGCTGCTGGAGCTATTAACTGTTACTGGTTGTCTCAATTAGAGTGAAGTTTTATTGGATAATTATTGGTAGGGTTGAAATTAGCTGACGATATACTTCTATTGAGGTCGATTCTAATAAGTGAGCAAGCACTGCTGAATGCGCGGATTCAAAGGAATAAACACTTTGAGATCGGCTTCGCGCCTTCAAAGTTGATGGCGTCGTTGTAGGACTTCATAGGTCGAGATAGTTCACAAATAACTACACATTGCATTCCTCGACAGTGCGATGCACTCTGAAGAGGCTAGACAACGATGCTGCAGAGGAGCTGACTGGACTTTTGAGGTCTGACTCACCAGCGATTTTTGATAAACCCACCGTACTTCTCGTATATCTACCCGCAGTGACGACCTCGCCTACGGTTTTGTTCAATTTCCCCCTTAATTCTTCCCGTTCTTTTGCTATTTTACCGAAACGAATTTGGCCAGCTTAATGTGCGGTACTCCAATGCTCAATACTTTGTTCACAAACCGATCCGAGGTCTCTGTTTTTACAGAAGTATTGCTCTGCATAATGCTTCTCAAGCCCGATCCGGGCGACCACTGCGCACGACTTCCCTCTCTACTCCACGCAACAACTTGCATCCAATCCTGTTGAAAGACAAACTGATAATTGCCGAAGTAATTCTTAAATGAGTCCGATGTGCTGCTACCTGTTGTAAGCGCTCGTATAATTTAGGCGGAATAGTGGTGACTCGTACCACTTCGACTGGCCGTGGGTAAACCCGCTGCTCCGCGTCTTCTCTGCTACACTTTGCTTTCACTGAAGTGGCGCACTTGAGTTTCGGCAATTTCCGCTTGGCTGTTTGCTGCAGCTTGTATGTACTCTTTCTTCGATAAAAGAGATTAGATGTTACTCGATCTTTGAAGTGCCTCGTTATCGACATCGTTGGCGGCAAGTGATCATCTGTTTATGATGCAACTTCTAGGTCTGGTTGGATGAATATCCAATGTAGCTATGGCGGTTGCATATCCGACGGATCACTTCGATTAGCCTTGGGCACCGCTATGTATGGCAACTGGTGCGGACATTCTGAAACTCAGGGTTGCGTCGGTATCACCCTCTGTTCCTGAATTCAGATTTGTTGGATCCGACACATGTAGCGGAAGTAAACATGGAATTCTCCAAATGCCGCAAAATCTTTAAAATTTCTAATGACAGTTTTGGCTGTTTTTGCGCAGTAACGCCGACTCAGTATTGTTTTAGTAGACGCTGTCGTATTTAGCTAGGAAAATATTCCACCACCAGAACTGGGAGGCAACAACTGGGACGTCCGGAATTATCCTCCAGCAACTGCATACGAAGTTCACAGATCCTAAATAGCACTACCATTATCTCTGCTGCTCTCGTAGTTGCTTGACTACCGGTTGTTATAGCACTTGTTACCTTTTATTGAGGATGGGACTCGGTAAATGAAGTGGATAATCGGTGTGCGCAGGTCTAACCAACATTTGGGAATGCCAGGTTTCATTGTGATGCCCAACTAAACTGCATACTCCATAACTTACTGGTGTCCTCTGCATACTTATATTCTTCATAGATGCGGCTGCTTTCTGATGTAACTCATCCACGGATGTTACTTCGTGAATTCACGGTCCACTCATATCACGTCAGCCGTTTCACATTCGTCATATCCACTTTTTATCTTCTCTCTGCTATCTGGCGTTGTGGTACTGTGAACACTTTTGACTCGCTTAACAATAGGTAGGGTTGCCTGGTACAGTTTTGCATTGTATACATGTTTTAGGTATGCCACTGCTTCATTTAGAACAGTGGCTTTTCCATCGATTCTATGAGCTCTCCACCTTCCTGAAGTTATGCTGTTGAACCGAGGGATTTGCTTCATAAGTCGGACTTTCCCTCCACCTGGTCTCATTGTTGCTATTCGTGCACCGTTCTTGAAACACAACGCTGCGTTGAGTAGTTTCGTGACTGTCAATTATCAGGTATCACCCAGTATGTTATCTATTATCCCAACCTGTGTGAATACGAGTAACACTACGGCCTCTTAGCCCTTCCCTTTTCTTTTCCCCCACTCTTCGAAATAACCTCTGTTGTGCTCATCAGCCAAGCTGTACTTAGCACTACCCGATGTTCCTCCGTATTTTCAGAAAATTACAAATCTGCCTGCGGAACTCCCCATTTTGGTCTCTTCTTGGCCTTTCTTTCCGATTTACACTAGCAGACTTCGATACATCTGCGTCCATATGACTGGCGCATCCGTTTCCAGATTTACCCGACGCTTTGACTGCTGATTACCACGGGACACCTGCGCCCACACAATGCCTGTGGATGACGTGCACTACACCACCTACAGCCGAAGGAGCTAGACTGATAGGCAGCTGATAGGAACTACGGATGATTCGGATATGTTCTATTCTCCTTCAATGTGAGCACTATCATCACAAAATCCGTGATCGTTGCGAGCGACATGAAAGCTCAGGTTGTTTGCTCATCAGAGTCGGAACTTTGCATCCAAGGCCGCTGGTCATCTCACTGACGATGATTACCACTTCTTCCAGCTACACGCTAAACACATCCTCTAGATAAACAGCACGACCTTCCAGCACAAGTGTCCACAGTGAGTTACCTGACGGTCACCGAACAACAGGCTACCTAGAATTCAAATTCTTCCCATGGTCACCCGCCTCAAATTTCATACTTCAGCACAGTTTGTCCTCTAATCTGGAGCGGTTGTCTCCATCCTAAGCCTCTCCTCTTGCATTTCCGCTTAGCACTCACTATTCGTGACCCGCTTGAGCACTAAACTTCGAATGTGCTTGTTCGTCAATTGTGTTCGGAACCCGCGAAAAAGCAATCAGTCTGGATTGCACCCTCAGTTCTCATTGACGCACTAGATGAACGAACCAAATGATGTTTAGAGTCTCCTCCAATGCGTTATGCAAGATGCGCTTGAATTCGCTTACCCTCCTATAATGTATCCGGATAGTAAGCATATCTCTAGGACGTTGATTAGTCTGATTGCAACACATTTATTGATTACACGGGGACGTCGCTTTCAGGTTATCTAAAAAATTATGAAACGTTATCTCACTACTCAATTTACCGGGAACGCTTGTGGATTGCGGTGCGCCGTTAGAGGGAAGTGGCGAGCGCCATTGGGCACACCAAAGTGTTTACCTAATTCATTTTACACCAAGTTCCCGTGAACCAAATTTATTAGTTGCGTCACCTGAATCCACATAGAATGTTGACGCAATGGCTTCTGCCATCGACGAGACCCGACACGAGCTGGTGTTGCTAAAGCCGGATAAGGAGCGTAGTCAGATGTTCTTATGACGTGACTGACAGACGGCGGCGTTTCACTGGTGATTTCCTCAGGTGATCTGTTCGACGGTACCTGGCGTCAGAAACAAGTGCTCTTCAAATAATGATTGCCACCCGTCATTCTCATCTTTGAAAAAAGCGATAGTCGTCCTGTGCATTTCGTCGTGGCACCGGTCTGAAATCAATTGATCCATATATACTGACCACAACGTCCTTCATCGGCTTCCTGATTCTCGTGCGAAGCGTATCAGTGAGCACTAAGCTGGCTTTTCCCTCTCCGGTATAAAGCGCATCTACTGTATTTTATTCTTCGCCAGTTTGCTTAACATGGTAGTCCTCTTTAACTCGAAAATTGCTGTTAATCCTGTTGATTGCGCCCACCTATGGCTATGACTGGCTTGGAGGGGCGTGCCCTAGTGATTCACTTCTGCTATAAAACCCCTATACCACAACTCTGGCTGCTGGAAATCTTTCCCTTGAGTTCACCACTATAACCTCATTTCGTCAGTATTCCGTGTCTTTCCATTTCCCTTCGCTTTTTTGATTGAAATGATCATGAATGACTCGGCGCTCTTTTTCACTTCTTTAAGGATGGAAGTTCTGTTAGGCAACTGTCTCTATGCAAGTGACAGCTTCTTTTGTATCAGACTCAACCGCTAGGTAAACGCTATCGAATTAGCTGTTTTTAGTGATGCACGCTTTGACATTCACTTAGCGCCGTCAGATTGCAAAGTATGATTATTGGATTGGCAGAATTACCACCAGTTCCTACCGTCACCGACAAACCACTCGATGCTGTCAGTCAGTAGTTACCACCTTGTGTGCTCACGTAACGCCAGAGGCTGTTGCAAGTATTGGTTAAGTGTATCTTCTCCAAGCCTTTTTCGCTTGTGTAGAAGTGGGGATCTATGCTTAGTTCCCAAAAGAAATGTTTACAAAGCTACTGTGCCACCGGTTTTGCATTCTGGATCGGATACCTAGTAACTGCACGCTGATACTAATATGTTTGATCACCGATGCCTGCGGTATCTAGTGGGTCATTTTAGTGAATAACGCCTCAGCGATAGTTGCATTGACTATTTTGCGTACTTCGCCCATTGTTGTCATACAAGTGATTGACGATGGCGACCGCCGGGTAGGAGATGGTCTTTCTCTTCCCTTGGCTACCGTTCTTGGTCCCTTGTGTTGGATGAGTCCTTCTCTTAGTTAAGGGTCAGGACATCTCACTTAAAGCCAACCCCCTAGCTGGGTTCTGCAGATAGTTATCAAGCATCAAATAAACTACTAATTTTGAGTATTCCAGCTGGGATACTAACCGCAGCACTCCTGATGCTGGT